GCTAGATTGGGGTGGCCACACTTCTAACTTTGTTCTCAACTACATGGGATCAATGCTAGAAAGTGCTAGATTAGAGTGACCCAGACTCCGAGCTTTGCTGTCAGTTACATGGGATCCCACCTTCAGCTGGGCGCCAGTTCACAATCCTGCCAGCTCCCGAGGTGACCTTAAGCTCCTGAACCCCGAACCCCCTAAACCCCAAATCCCACCCTAAACCCTAAACCCTAAATCCTAAACCCTAAACCCTAAACCCTAAGCCCTAAATCCTAAACCCTAAACCCTAAACCCAAATCCCGACTTCCAAACCAGGGCAAACCCTAAGGCCCTAAACCCGAAACCCTAAACCTTAAGGTAGAAACACCCAGCCTCACACTGGAAGACCTTTGACCCAAGACAGACACGCCGATAATGGCTTAGGGTCTATTAAGGGTTTAGGGGTCTAGGGGTTTAGGGTTTAGATTAGGGTTTAGGGTTTAGGGTTTAGGGTTCAGGGGTACTTGCACAAACACTACTCCTACATCGACCTGCAGGACGCAGTAATCACTGAGTGACGCAGCTCGTCCATCTCCAAAACAAGGTACTTCATGGGACTTCCCCAGAGAACCCAACACCCCTTCACTAAGGAATACGCCTTAAATCATAATATTCAGGCCCCTATAAGTTAAGGCATATTCCTTAATGAAGGGGTATGGGGTTCTCTGCGTCAATGATCAGAAACAGATTTTCAGGGTATATTCTCGTCGCATGATGATGAAAAGGAACACAAAGGCAATAGTATTTGCAATTGCTCTCAAAGTTCATCGTAGCCCTGAGTTGCTGCTTCAACCCTCAACAGCAGATGTTGCCCAGCTCCACCTTCTCGAGAATGAGGCACCACATCCTTTCGAGCATTAAGGGTGTATTGCTGAGGCTTTTGCGTAGGATCCAAGGCACATTTGAATAAATTAATGTAAGCCCCTGACTAACGAAGCCCTTTCGTTGAAAACCCTCATCGGAGGATCCCTAAACCCTAAACCCTATACCCCAAACCCTAAACCCTCAAGAAAGAAATAAATATAAATTGCTTGTTGCTGTTGGCCATCCGGAAACATGTTTGTTTTTCGATCTTGTCAGGCGTGTGAAATTCACCATACAACTTGGTAGTTTCAAGTCCTAGGGGGCTCTTCTTTCAAGTTACCAATCTGGCAGTTTGTTCAGCAAGTGGCTCGCCACGAGGGAGCTCAAAATCAGGGCCAAGTAGTTTGTTCAGCACGTGAGTCGCGGCCAAAGGCCCTTTGTGATCTTGTCTGGTGATCTTATCAGCAAATCTGATTGACTTACGAGGTGTCAGGTGATCTTATGAGCAAATCTTCTTGACTTGCGAGGTCAAGTGTGATCTTGTCAGGTGTGCATGTGCTCTTGTCAGGTGATCTTGAGAAGAGAGGCCAGGTATGTGCTTGTCAAGTGATCTTGTCATTCGTGTGACCGAATTGCAGCATACAGCTTTGTAGTTTGACCTTTTAGTGGGCTCGTTTTTCACGCTGTTCAGCACCTGACTCGCCGGGTCAATTTCAGTCAATGGTCAACGCGACCTGGCCCACAGACATTACTTTGCCCAATAAACCCTAAACCCCTAAACCCTAAACCCCGAAAAACTAAAACCTGAACGTCAGAATCCCTAAACTCTTAACCTCAAGATCCCGAACATAGGGGACCTTATGATCCGAATCGGGCTTTCGGTGGTCATGGATTCAGGGTTCAGGGTTTAGGGCTTTTAGGGTTCAAGAGTGTAGGATTAAGGGTTTAGGGTTTCAACATAGGGGCATTACAGTCAGAATCGGCCTTTGGGAGTAAAGTAAACCATAAGAAGGAACCAAGATCCCCAAGACCTCTCAAACTCGAGACACCCAATCCCTAAACCCAAGACCCCTGAACAGTGCGGTTTAGGGTTTAGGGTTTAGAATCTTGGGTTTAGGGTTCAGTTTAGGGTTGGGGGTTTTAGGGTTTAGGCACGTTTAGTGTTTAGGGTGCGCCCCTAGTCTGCTGTTGAGGTTCTCGTTTCCATGTGGCTGCGAGAAATAGGGCTCCGCCTCATCCGCCCACCAGTGGGCATGTGCCTCAACAACCAAGGGGGCTTAGGGCGGGGCCTTAGGGGATGTGCAGCTTGCAGGGACGGGGCGGCTGTAGGGCTTAATTGGATTGTTCAGGCTGTAGTGGCAAGGCGCTTTGGCATTCGGGCGTAGAGCGATTCTGATGCTTTAGGGCAGAAGGTGTTATAATGGGATGTATGGTTCAGGTTGCTCAAATCGTGCTTAGAGTTAACTGTACGGGCTGTCACAAGGCTGTTGTGCAGTTAGCGGTGCTGGCTTATTGGCTAAGCCCCTGGCACAGGGGATGTACTCGTCCACGACGACGTCCACCATCTGGATTCAAAGCAGACTTCGGTTAGGATACTTCAGAAAGTTTCCACCTAAATGCTACACCCTAGGCCCTAAACCTTAAAAACCTACACCCAGCCCTACACCTTAAACACGAAACCGTAAACGCTAAGACAGAAGCTGACCTGCCCACAGCGGTAGTCGAAGAGCTGCAGCACGAATCGACCGTCAGTTTGGGAGCCATCGACCTTAAAGACCTGTCGCGGAGCGGGCGGAAAGTCAAAGGAAACTGCAGGTGGGGAGTTTAGGGTAGATAGGGCTTCTATAAGGCTTCCATAAGGTATATAGACCTGCTATAAGGCTCCTATAGGGTTACTACCCACCTGAGAATGTCCTAGAGAAAAGGGTTAGGATGATGGTTAGGCTAAGGGTTCCGGGTTTAGGACTTTCGGGGTTCAGAGTCCAAAATTTCAGGCTTTAGAAAGTGGGGCCCTGAACCCTTTAGGCCCTAAACTTTAGGTGGTGGGGCTTCCGATTCAGTGTGCTAGGCACGTGGTCATGAGATTCGGGCTTAGGGTTTAGGGCTCAGACTTTAAGGTAGCGGGTGTATATGGTTGAGATTGAGGCGTTCAGGATGGCTTGTGGAACCTTGGTTCCTGAGTAGCCTCTTTATAATAAGGGTACCAATTTTCCTACTGTTCGGTTGTAGTAAGGGGGCCCTAAAGATAAAAAGGGCAAAAGGGTACCACTCAGGGACCTGGGAACTCCTTGTTCAAGAAACAACTCCCAGCACCGAACCCCGGGACAAGGCACCCTAAGCTCCTGCTGCCATCTCATCTATGAGCGTGTGACACCTCCACATGCTGGCATGCATGTGGGCACGCGGAATGGAGCGTCGTTGGCTGGGCCCAATGATCAAAGGCGCCGCGTTTCAGACTTAAGCAGGAAGCATATCAAGTAACAACACAAGCAGTCGATGCAGCGCAACTCTGAATACTGTAGGACCCCTCAAGACAATAGCCCCTTGGGCCTATAAACGTGAGACAAACTGTTTAGGAACACACAGGACCTTGTACTCTAAACCCTAAATCACACGCCCTAAACCTAACCCCCTAAACCGTTTACCCTAAACCCTAAACCCCTAAACCCCAAACCCTGGACCCTGAATGAACCCAACTTCTCCACTTTAGGCCTTCTCCACGGCTTTCGGATACTCTGCCAGCGCTGCCAGGGCAGCCATTAGCCAGCAGTTGCCTTGGTATAACGGTATAACCTATGCGAGATAGTGTAGGGTTGAGGGCTTAGGGCTGTATGTACTGTATCAGTACAGACTACATGTAGTATGTATCATGTATAATGTACACAATACATTGTGAAAACACCAAAAACGTACAAATATCAGTTCAAACATGTAACACATAATTCGTAAATAACGCACAAACCCTTGCATGTCGTGTATATTATCTATCTATCTATCTATCTATCTATCTATCTATATATATATATGGTGGATTCTGAGACATCGATCATGTTCGTACTCCTGTTCTTAGTAGTCCTACTGTTCGCGAAATGCGACCAATCAATCCGAAATGGCACTTTGCTGCCCCTACACATTCATCAGGAGGGAGAGAGAGAGAGAGAGAGAGAGAGGGAGAGAGAGAGACTACATTCACACCCACCCTAAACACAAAACCCAACAACTAAACACCAACCAACCACCAAAAAAAACAAAACAAAAACTAGAGTCCTGAATCCTGACCCCAAACCCTAAACCCCAAACCATAAACGGTTTAGGGTTTAGGGTTTAGGTTTAGGGTTAGGGTTTAACCTTCTGGACCGAGGGGCCAACTTTTCCTTGCAGCAGGTCCAGGGGGTCCTCGGATCGTCTCGGATGGGCCCCAGCCCTAAGGGTCCATGTACCCAAATAGCAGAATGTACCTTTAAGGGTTCCTTTAAAGGGGTCCTTTAAGGGTTCTATAGGGGTACCATAAGGGCTTGGGGTTTAGGGGTTTAAGGGTCCATGTACCCAAATAGTAGATACTTTGGCCTTAAAGTAGCTCCTATTTGGGTACTTTGGGGCCAAAGTATCTACTATTTGGGTACATGGACCCTTAGGGAAGGATCTTTGCATCTCCGGTGGTTGTGTACTTTTTTGGGGTTTCGGGGAGTGGGGTTTAGGGTTTAGGGCTCCGTGTGCAGGGTTTAGGTGGTTGGGTTTAGTGCAAATACTCTTAAACTACGGCAAAGCTTGAAGCACCAAGGCTTCTAGGGCTTCTTGTTCCGGGTGAAAAGACAAATCTATTCCTCAAACAAGAGGGTTTTGGGCTTTCTGTGGACTCTAATCTCCGTTTTGTATAGGACATCTTAGTTATCATCATAAGTTAGAGCTTGCATTCAACACCGGGGGCGCGTCATCTCGCGAGGATCAGGGCTCTCCCTAAACCCGAAGCTGTACATACTAATCCGTCATCCGCAAACCCCCACTGGCTCGGACAAGTTGCGATTCTGCTGCATGCATCGTGGTATGATGCTGCGAAGACATCAGCAAATCTGTGCTAAACCCTAAACCCTAAGGTCGTGTCTTGGCGACTCTCGCCTCCATCTCTGTATGATCCTTACTAGGCTGGCCCTTTGATTTGAGAACTAGTTTGTAAATAAGACCCTCTTCGGCCCAGAAGAGGAAATGTCAACTGTCCCAATATACGGGGCTCCAGCTCTGATGCGTTCCGAAGCTAGGAAAGTGCGAGGATTGAAGCAGACAAAAGCCCCCCGACCCATCTGCAGCCGGCCATCAATGCCATCAAACAGACGCCACTGACCGCGGTGGAGTCGTCGTGCTGGAACCCACATTGGCCTTAAGAGCTGCAAGCAGCAGCAAGCATCAAACCCGGATGCCGTGGAGTTTTGGGCCTTGAATGCAGGGGCAGTTCTATGACGACTGCTAGCCTCACCTCCGTTCTTGCACCCTGTTCCACCTGTGCTTCAGACCTTATGAGCGGGTTCTGCATGTCCCACGAGCCCACATAGAAGCCCTAATGATGCGAAGGCCTCGCGCTTGCCAAACCTGACTGTCAAGCCTCCTCTTGAAGAGTTTATAAGGGGGCCTAGACAGAATCCCGTCATCACCCCAGTAAGCACTCTCCTAAGACATTCGCAACCCGAACCCATCCGCAAAGCCCCGACAGTCTTGAATCCCTTAACTTCCCCGAACCCTCACACAGCCACCCCACACGGCCCAGCAGCCTTACCTTATTACCTCCGTCAATCCATAAACCCCTAAACCCTAAACCCAAAAAAGCCTCAAAGCTTCTCGACAGCAACGCACGGTGCAGGAAAGCATCTGAGCCAAGCCGGTAGCTGTGGCTCCCGGACCATCGATGGACGGAATCTGCCTGCGCGGTCTGATCGGGACGGGGCTTCATAGGGTCGTATAGGGGTTTATAGGGCCTGACAAGGCTGTATAAGGCCTCATACAGTAGGGCTTTTTCGGTCCGAGATCGGCAAAAGGGTCGTGCGAGATGTCATCGCAAGTTTCGTGCGAGAAGGAAGTCGGAGATTCTTGGCGAGGCTTGCGTTGGAGGGGGGGGTTGGGTTCGGGAGATCAGTGCCGCAGTGTAAGGGCATACTGTTGATGATATAAACCCTGCATTACCTGAAGGACCCTAAACTATGGGAATTATGGGACATTCCTTATTCTGGGTAATGCAGGATTTATACCATCAACCGCATGTAGGGTGTTGATTCACATCCAATGTTGCCAGACAGGTTGAGACTGAACTACCCACCTCGGCAGACTATCCCAGCGCCTTAGTTCTTGAGCTCGTTTCGCGACTAAGGCGCATGGTTACGATTTCGGCATGAGTTGAGCGCTGCACATTCGAGCCTTCGAGGCTGTGGACTTTGCACTGCACTCTTGAACCTTCAGTTCAGGGCATAGCATGTAGGGTTTCAGGTTGAATAGGGGCTCTCAGGGTCTAGGATTCAGGGTTTCGGCTTGCATGGGGTTGAGGGGCGCGGGGTTGAACTGGGAAGGACCCCCCCCCCACCTGTGGGGGAAGGTCTTGTCATAGAACAAGGACTTGTCCTCTTCATCCCATGCATCCATCCTTGGCTTCTCCCGAAAGGACCTTTAAAAAAAGCGCTTAGGTCCTTGAATGGCCGACATGTGCTACGATCCCAGGCCCGAGTACGGAAATCTTGGACACTTGGGGGTCAACCGCTGGCCCCAAGAGAAGCCATGAATCCCAGCAGTGAAAAATTGCCGTATTTTCGATTCAGTATTCCAGTCTGCAGCCATCGTCTATGGTGGAAGCACAAAAATTGGAAACCCAATAGCCTCAATCTTTAAGAGTAATGTATAGGGAATCCCAGCACTATTTGTCCTGAATCAGGTTTCCAACTTTTTTGGGCTTACTATAGTCAATCTAGTCTTCTAGGATCTCTGACTCCGAACTCGACACTTCGGGAGCTGAGGTAACGACTGCTGTGAACGTGGTGCCCTCGTCCGGGGCTCAACGGGACCCCATTGCAACCGAATTATGGGTTGTGAGTTATGAGCCAAGGTACCCGCGAGGATGTCACCCTAAACCCTAAATCCCTAAACTAACCCTAAACCCTAAACCCTAAAGCCTAAGTCCCTAAATCCCTAAACTAATCCTAAACCCTAAAGCCTAAGTCCCTAAATCCCTAAACTAACCCTGAACCCTAAACCGTAAGTCCTAACCTAAACCCTGAACTCCAAAGCTGCCAGGGTTCAGGGAAGCCTAGAGGGTTCTCCATTCTGAGAAAAAAAGGGTTTAGGGTTTAGAGGTTTTTAGGGTTTAGGGGTGTTTAGGGTTTAGGGTTTAAGGGTTTTAGAGTTTAGGGTTTAGGGTTAAAAGCCTTCAAGACTGTGATCGGGTTCAATATAGGCTTTACAGGGATCGTAGAGGGCGGGTCTAGGATGCTAACATGGCAGGCTCCATAATTTTAGGTAGTATCCTGTTATGTTTTAGGGTTTGGGGCTACAGGCTGCCAGATAGAACTTAGGGAGCTTGTCTACTGGGACTAGTGGCGTCCGTGCAAACAAAGCAGTGTAAGGGACGGGTCAAGGCTTCAGATTCAGATTCATGCCGGTTATGGAGTTTACCGCGAACCAAAAAAAATTCCAACCGGGTAGGTATATTGCAGTTCAGGTAGAGTTTAATCATCACTGCGTCCTCAGCGTTCTGATGGCCAGCATGAATCCGGTCGAGCTTCTGCGTCTTCTCAACGATCGCCTGTGCAAAGGTTCAATACGATGGGGACGAAGGAGTTCAATGTTCATGCGCCCACATGGTGTGCGTGTATACGTAAGGATGTACATGCAACTTAACTACGCACGTCCTCGTGCGTGCATTCAGCATGCATGAAAGAACATCCGTCTGTCTCAGCTGTGCCTGTGGGGTAGTTGGTGTTGGCCTCCTAAACACCAAAACCCTGAGAGCCCGAAACCATGGTATTCCATTAGGAGTGGAGTTGAGGTATGCCCTTAAAGGGGCCCCAACGGAACCTTTACAATGGAGGAACCCTTTGAAGGACCCTCAAAATAGCCACCAAAAAGGAACCCCTAAACCCTGAACCCTAAACCCTGGTGCTCTTGACCCTTATTAAAGTACCCTTACACGAGCCCCTTTTGCTAACGGAACCTTTATAATGGAGGAACCCTTTGAATGACCCTCAAAATAGCCACCAAAAAGGAACCCCTAAACCCTGGTGCTCTAGACCCTTAAAGTACCCTTAAAGAACCCTTACAGGAGCCCCTTTTGCCTGGAGATTGTCCTGCTCCCATGAGCAGAGCTCAGGGGAAGAAGCGTCATCCAGCGACCTCGCTGGCTGCTCCCGTCTTCGGGGCTTCGGGTTGAGGGTTTAGGTTTAGGGGTTTAATGTTTAGGGTTTAGGGTTTAGGGTTGAGGGTTGAGGGTTTAGGGGTTTAGGGTTGAGGGTTGAGGGTATGGGGTTTAGGGTTTAGGCTAAAGGTTTAGGCTTGAGGGTTTAGGGTTGAGGGTTTAGCTTTAGGGTTTAGGGTTTTGACGGTTCCTATACCTCATGAAGGTTCTATGAGCGGTTTAGGACTTAAGGTTTAGGGTTCAAAGGGTTCTGAAACCTGGGTGCCAGGCACGGTTTAGGATGTGTAGAACAGCTAAGTCTACAGCTGAAGCAGCCTCGGGAATCAAAAAGTATGTTTTGCGAGATCGGACCAAGCAAAGAGAAGGGGGGCTTTCTTGTCTGGGTCAAACAAGATGCCCCCCCCAAACCCTAAACCCTAAGCCCACTCAAAAAAGTAAAGATGAGCACTATCGGCCCTATCTGTGCTTTGCCCAAGTTGACAGGGTCCTCGAGCCTTCGAAAGGAGTCTTCCTATATACCTCCCTATAGCCCAAACCCTAACCCCAAACCCCAAACCCTAAGCCCAACCCTAAACCCTAGCCGAACACATCTAAACAACCTACATGAAGCTTTTGATCGGGTTTTACAAGGCTACGGGGTTCGAATAATGCATGGCCTCGGGTGCTGTAGGTGTTAGAGCAACCTAAAAGAAGCCTGCGCAGCCGTGTAGCTCCTCTGATATCCCAACTGGACCTCGTACTGCTGAAGTTGGTATACTTTCCCAAATGCTAATAATAATAGTAATAATAACCATAATGATAACAATAATAATCATCATCATAACAACAATCATAACAATAAAGACAAAAAATTATAACAATAATAATAATAACAATAATAATAGTAATAGTAATAATAATAAGAAGAAGAAGAAGCAGCCTACTCTCGAAACACTACCTTCTACTAGATAGGTACTTAGGACCCGGACCCTTCACTATAGGTCTGATACCTAGGACGAGAAGAAGAAAGCTGCAAGCCCCTGGATTCTAAGACTCTTAGAGAAAAAGACGAGGGTTTAGGGTTTAGAGTTTAGAGTTTAGGGTTTGGGGTTTAGAGTTGAGGGGAGAGACCTTAAGCCCCCAGGGGTTCAGGATACCCTGCCTCTTTGTAATTTCCCGCTTGGAAACGATCGTGCTGGATGGGTCTGCGCTTCAAAGGTGGGCCTTTGAAGGCTAGCACTGACAGGCTGGACTTTGAAGTAACCAGGGAGAAAAAAGTATAGACTTTTATTCTAGAACGGTTCCTTTAAGGAAATAGAAAGTATTCAAGTACGGTACTCTAGAGCCCAGCAGGAGGGCCTCCCAGCGCCATGGGACATGCACTTCGAATCACAAAGTGTGATTTGCGAGGTGCAGGGAGGCCGAAGAGCATCAGGGGGGCAAAACCCCTAAAACCCTAAACCGCATCATGCACATCTGCGCCCATCTCGCTGCAAGCATGGCTCCTCATCCCTGCTCAGGTTGGGCCTTGGGCCTTCCACAGAGCAGCCTCTTTGCAGCGAGGAAGGTCGAAAAGCCAAGAAAGGCGTCAAGCCCTTGCTTGCCGCTCCAACCCTCGCAGTAGGGCTCCAAGACGAGAATGAATCCACCAGCCAAAAGTCCACTTAAGGCGAAGTGTAACCTAGGTCGGCCCTTTAAAGGTTTGGTTTAGGGTTTAGTGTTTAGGATTTAGGGTATAATGCCCAAACAGGGGGAAATACAAAACTTCTGAAAGCGCCTATTTAGTAACGTTGTCGGGAGGTACTCGAAAGAGGCCATGCCAACGAAAGATCCAACTGCAAACCCATTCATTGCAACGGGTGCAAAGCTCCAACCACTGACAGACAGCACTAGGAACGCCGTGAGTGAGCCGGATGTTGCTCCAGTGATTGGGTTCTCAAGGCTGGCGCCACAGCTGCGCAGAAAATTGGCAGTCACGGCTCCAAACACTGGTGCCAAGACAGAAATCACATCCTTTTGCCACACACGCTGTTCATATGCAACGCGCACAGACGACACTTTTGCTCCGTCAAGCAGCATGTCAGCCAAAAGATTCACTGCGCGGTACTCGACGGCACCCACCGGCATGAGAACCACGGCCTGCACCAGGTAGCAGGAGCAGAATGCAGTGAAGCCTACACGGCCTCCAAAGCCGACAAAGACCTTGAAGTGGGAAACCAAGAGCCAGAGAATGCAGCCCACAAGGAGCAGAAGGGCGAGCCAGTGATAAGCAGGAGCAAGCTTTGGGGATAGAACGCCTGTGAAAGCCCCAAAAGCAAATGGCGCGGTCAGCGGCGGTGCCAGGTGACCGCAGAGTGTGATGAGAGTTGCTTGGGCAAGGTCTCCACCAACACGGGGGCCTGAATAAGCATATAAATGTGTGAGGAAGCCACCGGCAAACAAAGAGACGCACTGCATTGTCCAGTGGCCCTCCAGGCGCCAATGTGCAAGCTTGGCGGCCAGATTTCCCAAAGCGAAATGTCGAGCCTCGAACATGCGATCGTCATTATGTAGCTCTTCATACTCCTCCAAGATCAATGTGTGCGCTCGGCCACCATCGTCTGTTTGCACCGAAATCGAACGAATTCGGGTAGCAGCATAGCCCACCTCCTCTTCATCCAGCGAAGATTCAGAGCTTCCCTCTTCCATGGGCAACATGTGGGAATGGGTCCAGAACTGGTAGGCTACACTAAGGTCTGGCTAGTCTGGGGTGTAGGGTTTAGGCTAACCTGTTAGCATTTCGCAACCCGCATCTATCGATGGCGACCGGATATCGTCCATTGCGATACTGGCCTTCGGTGAGGTTTGCTGTTTGCAGTAAACTGCCTTGGGCCGTCGAAGGTTTTCCGTGGCTGTGCGTGGAAGGATTTCCAAAGTTTTGGCTGTATGCGATGTCATTGCAAGGATTTCTGTAACTTTGGCTCCTTTTCTTCGAAGAAGTCTCTCTTTCAGCAAACTGTTTTATTTAGTTCGTGTGTGTGTGTGTATGTATGTATGTATGTATGTATGTATGTATGTAAGTAAGTAAATAAGTAAGTAAGTAAGTAAGTAAGTAAGTAAGTAAGCAAGTAAGTAAGTAAGTAAGTAAGTAAGTAAGT